CCCCGCCCCGCCCCGCCCCTACCCTCTTCTTGATGAACTTGAGGGCGCGCTTGTCCTTGGAGACCTTGAGCAGCTCCATGGCGCGCCGCTCGTACGGGGCGAAGCCGCACACCTCCCGGATCATGTCCCGCACGAACTTGCTGTGCTTGGTGAGGCGCTGCGGGGGCCGGGCGTCAGCGGGGGCGCAGGTGTCCGCCCCGGGCCCCGCACCGCCACCTTGTCCACCCGGCGCGGCCCGCGCGGCCCTCTGCACAGGCTGCTGCGGGGCCGCGAATCCCTGCCCGCCGTGCAGTCTGGGCACCGCGGAGTCGGGGCTGCTAAAGGCAGCAGCCCCCGAGCCCGACGGGCCTGCGAGCCCTCCCCCTGCCACTCAAGACATCGGCTTTCCCCTCCCTCCGCGCTCCGGCCTCGGCCCAGCTCCTGCGCTGCGGGGCGAACTCCTACTCATGCGTCAAAACCCGCTGCCATACCCTGCCCCGGCTTCCGTCCCACCGGCCGGAGAGGAGGGTCCGGGTGGACGCGAGCCGTCCAGGGGAGTACCGGGGTCTCCATCACTGCTCCGGCAAGACCGACACCCCCTTTCTTGCCCCCAGGGCCCCGACACCTCCACCGCGCCCCCCGCCGCCTGCGTCCAGGCCCCGGCCGCGCGCCCGGCACTCACCCCGCGGCGGCGGCTGTGTCTCGGCTTGCTCACGTTCTTGGTCACCTTGTGGCCCTTGTTGAGGCCCACGGCCATGGGGTAGCGCAGGGCCATGGCTGCCGACGGCGGCGGGGAGAAGAGGTGGGGGTGAGGCCCGGCTCGGCCCCCGCCGCGCGGAACCCCGCGCCCCGGCTCCCCCGGGCTCGCTCGCCGCACGCACCCAGCCCCCCGAGCCGCACGGGGGCCGCGGGGGCTCAGATGGAGGCGGATCCCACCCGCGCGGGGCCCCGCTAACCTGTTGTTCTTCAATGGCTGCTGCGGCGGAAGGGTCGGCGCCGCGCGGGACTCTGGGATATCTACCCTCCGCGGGCGGCGCGGGCCAGAGAGGCCGGGACGGCGCGCGCTCCCCCTGGCGGCCGGAGGCGGCCCTGCGGGCTCCCTGAGCATGCGCACTTACCGCACTGAGCCGGCCGAACCCGGAGTCGGACCTGGGGGGCGTGGCTGTGGCCGCGGTCCCTCCCTCCGCCGGCGGGTCGAGGGCTGGGATCCTCCCTCTGCCGCTTGGTGGCTGAGCCTGCACCCGGGACTTCACCTCCCAGGACCTGAATCTCTCCCTTTATAGAATGAGGGGCAATCATACTACCTGTTCCCAACTGTCTGAACAAGATATAACGGTACCTGGCACAAAAGAAAACTTCATACACGGAGGCACTGGTTCCCTTCTATGGGAGGCCAGGCTCTGGGCTAGAGTTGAGGATGGCGATGTGGTGTAGCGCCCCCTGCTGGCAGTTGATATCATTTGATGTAAATTTAGGTGGTGCAGGGATGGGAGGCTGGTGGGAACAACAGAAAGTTCTGATTTTTATCTTTCGATGCTACTTATCTCCAAAAGACTCTCAATTTGAGGCTGGTCTGTCTGGGGTCAGCCCTTCAAACACCTGCTAATCTTAGAGCCTTGGACAGCCAAGAGCTGCTAGCATTTTCTAACATTGTATTCATTCTACAGATTTTATCTTTACAGTTATTTTTTTCTTTATGCAAGCAGCGCTGGCTTATCATTTCAGGGAAAGTGTCAATTTTCAATTCATTGATGTAAATATCAGTGATGGGCGGATACAGCCCACAGTTGGCCTTAAAGAGCGAGAGGCCCGTGTCAGAATCCCGGCTTCTGCCACTGACTTCCCCTCTCTCTAAGTGTCGTTCCCTCATCTGTAAACTGGGGACAATGAGAGCGCCGACTTCCAGTCGTGACGATGCCACAGATCGCGAATGTCGAGTGCACAGTGCCTGCTGCTCGTTATCATTATTGGTGCACAAAGCATGGACTTCGTGCTGGAAATAAAGCCTTTGGCCCACAATCAGTCCCCTTCCTTCCGCCCCCGACTTCCTGGCTGAGGTCCAGCTCGCTCTCAGCCTCCCTTTCTCCACCTGTGAAATGGGGTTGAGTTCTGGTCCCGGTACCCACAGCCCTCTTCGCCCACCTGCCACCAGCAAAAGGAAGGAGCACACAATCTGAACAGCGGATACGCAAGGGAAGAAGTGTTTTTATTATGACACGGGAGGCTGGGTCCAGCCCAGAAGGCGTTCTTTCCCTCCTTCCCCTCCTCAGACCCCACCAGCAGGTGGACACCTTCCTTCCTCTCTAGGGGGCAGGGTTGAGGGATGCTCCGAGGTTGAGGGAGTGCAACGAACAAATCAGGGATGCCGTGGTTCCAGGTGGGAGATGGAGAGGGTTCCAAGGGTGGCTCGGCAGTGGTGTGACCTGTTTGATGTGGCCAGGGCCCTGGGGCAAGTCACATCACACCCGCCCCAGCCTCAGTTTCCTCATCTGTAAAGTGGAAGCAGCAACCAGATCATCGACAGCCGAGAAGATGGAGGTAATGCCTTCCAAGGCCCTGACAAGCGCCTGGCACACGGTGGGCGCTCACACACCCAGAGTTGTGACTGTTTCCAGGCGCTGGAAGTTTCTCTCGGTTTTCCTTCTCTGTCTGGAGGACTGTCTTGGGCCGTGGCCACCCTCTCGGAGGTGTCTCGATCTCCGGGCTGGGTGGATGGAGCGTCTCTCTCCGGGAGGATGAAGGGGCAGCCCCCAGGAGCTCAGGCAGCAGCGGGGGCGGCGGTGACGTTGAGCTCCTGGCGGATGAACCAGGCCCTGGGGCGCGGCAGCCACCCCCGGAGCAGGCAGAGCAGGCGGAAACGCCAGGGGTAGAAGACGCCCGAGGCGCGCGTGGCGCCGCCGCGGATCACCGCCAGGGCCGCCTTGGGCCCCGGGGCCGCCCTGGCCCTCGTGACGCCCCTGGGGACGGGAGGGCGCGGTGGGGACTGCGGCTGGGGCTGGCCGGCCCCCCACAGCCCCCCGGCTCCCGCCCCAGGCCTCACCTGACTCCCTCCGCGGCCTCGGCGCGGTCCCGGAGGCCCAGGACGCACATGGTGATGGCCACGTTCACGTCCTGCACGTCCAGCTCCCGCCGCAGGGAGCCGAAGAAGCCGTCCAGCGCGAACTTGGCGGCCGAATAGGGGCTGGAGAAGGACGTGGGCACGCGGCCTGGGGGCGCGGGAGGACGGTGGCTGAGCGGCCACACGCCGCTCCCCCTCCTCCAGGAAGCCTTCCTGCCCCCTCCTGGCTCACCAGCGCCAAGCCCTGTGGCCTCCCCACTCCCCGCCCCGCGTGCACGCACCGAGCAGCGAGGACACCACCACCAGGGAGCCCCTGCTGTCGGTCAGGCTGGGCAGCGCCAGCGAAGTCAGCTGCACGTAGCTCAGGAAGTTCACCTGCAGGTGGCGACTGCGAGTCACCGGCGGAGGAGGAACCCAAGCCGGAAAGGGGCGGGGGCGGGGCCTGGAGCCTGGGGGCGGAGCCTGGGTGGGGGCGGGTCCCGAGGACTGGGGCGGAGTCACAGATGGAAGAGCTGGATCGCTGGCGCTGGGCGGAGACAAGGCCAAGAAGGCGGGGCCTAGAACCGGAAGGGGCAGGGCCTGGGCCTGGGAGGGGCAGGACCCAAGGTAGGGATGGCAAGAGGGTGGAGTCTGGGACAGGAGGGCTGGAGTGCCGGCCCAGGGGGCGGAGCCTAGAACCCGGAGGGGTGGAGCCTGGGGTAGGGGGGATGGAGCGCAGGCTCGTGAGGGCGGAGCCCGGGCCCAGAGGGGGCGGAGCCTAGAACCCGGAGGGGTGGGGCCTGGGATGGGGGATGGAGCGCAGGCTCGTGAGGGCGGAGCCTGGGCCCAGAGGGGGCGGAGCCGGGTTAGGGGTGGGGCCTGGGGATAGACGGGATGGAGTGCAGGCTCAGGAGGGCAGAACCCAGGCCCAGAGTAGGGGAGCCTAGAACCAGGGGGCGGGGCCTGGGACTAGGTGGGGTGGAGCCTGGCCCGTGAGGGCGGGGCCAGGGCCCAGAGGGGGCGGAGCCATGGGTGCAGTGGGGCAGGGCCTGGAGAGGGAGCCTGGCCTGGAAGGGTGGAGCCATGCAGAGAGGGGGCGGAGCCGTGGCGCGGAGGGGCGGGGCCTGGGGACAGGCGGGATGGAGCCAGGCCCAGAGGGGGCGGAGCCATGGCCGCGGAGGGGCGGAGCACCTGCAAGAGCCAGCGTGTGGCTTGGGCGCTCCGGGCCCGCGTGCCTGCCGGGGCGGAGCCGAGGTGGTTCAGCACCAGGTAGTCCAGCCCGCCTGGCCGGGAGAGGTCCGTCAGCCCGGAGCTACTCCTTGAGGCTCCGCCCCTGGGACGCATGAGACTCCGTCCCAGCCCCGCCCCCTTGGACTAGCAAAGCTCTGGCCAGAGCATTGACCCAATGAGCTCCACCCTAGGTAGCGCCCCACTTAAGATCAAAGAGACCCCGCCCTACTCCCCACATCCTGCCAGACTTTGGTCCCTGATCCAATGAGGCCTGGTCCAGAGTTCCGACCCCTGGATGCTATAAGGCTCCACCCTTAGCCACGCCCAGGGCCCCATAAATCTCCACCCTCAGAAGTCTGTTACTACCACACCCCCACCCCAATTCGGGTCCTGCCCCTAAGGCCTAGGCCAAGGTCCCACACTCCAGGCCCCGCCCCTCACCCAGCTTATCCAGCGCAAACTGCACCACGCGCCCGGGCACCTCGGGGGAGGCCATGTCCGCAGCGATGTAGAAAACCTTGGGAGCGCCCAGCTTCCGGCAGTTCCCTACCACCTGGAGGGCCAGAGCTGTCCGTGGGCTCCTCCACCCCAGCGGGCCCCCCTCCACCTGCCGGGCCCATTGGGGCCCCAGCCTGAAGCCCCCTCCCCTACTCTGGGCCTCGGGGTTCATTCGCCATCATTCCGAAAGCTTTACCACTGGGGTCGGGGTCGCAAACTGGCAGCCTCTGGGCCAGAATAGGGGGTGTTTTACTTGCTTAATCACCAACATTTGAAACTCAGAAGATTTCAAGTAAATCTCAGATTTCTGGCCTCTCTTGAAATTTTGGAAGGTTTGTCCCCAAGAGCTGTACATTTCCTTGGGGCATCAACGGGCTATTGCTAAGAAATGTCCACCATCCCTCTTTTGAGGCTGAGAACCCTGGCTATTGGCACAGGCCCTGGACACTATTAATACTGCCATTTATTGAGGAACATTCCCTCCTTCATACTCACTGTCTTATTGCATCAACCCAACACCGCAACCCATGAAAAGGCACTTTTATTGTCTCTGTTTGTAAACGAGGAAACTAAGGCTCAGAGAGGTTAAGCGACTTGCCCCAGGTCACACAGGAAGCCTGGATCCTTGTCAGGATTCAAACTCGGGCCTTGTTTTCCACCCCACTCCCACTCCCACCATTAAACTCGAAATGGGGAGTCTCACCTTCTGCAGGAGGGCCTCGGTGTGGGCAGTGAGCACGAGGTGGGAGCCCAGGCGTGCGTAGTGGTAGGCCAGCTCCTCGCCGACGCCTGCGCTGGCTCCAGTCAGCAGCACACGGGCCCCCTGGAGGCTGGCTGGCAGTGAGCACAGGTGCTCAGCCTACAGGGTGGACAGGCCAGCCGGCCCAAGTCCTCCGTCCGCTACCCCAGGTGCTCACCTGGGTTGAAGTTGTCATCCCAATAATAGGCGAAGAAGAGGGCTCCCAGCCCGGTGAGGAGCAGTACCTTCATGGCCCCGCCTGGTCTGCAGCGGGAGAGAGGGTGGCCGCACAGGTCTGGCCCACAGGCACACCCGTTTCCCCAATTTCGATGAAGATGCTCCTGGCCCTGCCCCCTTCTCCATCTCCACTGCCACCACCTGGTCCAAGTCACCATAGAGCTCACCTGAACCGCTGTACCAATCCCCTTCCCTCTTGAGGGCTTTCTCCCTCCACGCAGCAACCCAATCACATCTTGCCTTCTTCCACTGAAAATCCTTCCGACAGAAGCCACACTCCTCGATGGCCAAAGAGGCCCTGCAGAGACCAGCCCCTCTTGCTCACTCTGCTTTCTGCCACACCAGCCTCTTAGCTGTTCCTCGGAACCAGCCAGTCACCATCTGCCTCAGGGCCTTTGCACTGGCTGTTCCCTCTGCCAGGAATGCTCTTCCCAAATATAACCCAATGGCTTGCTCTCTCACTTCTTTCAAGTCTCGCAGCAAAAATTACCTCCTCCGAGGGCGCTTCCTTGCCTTCCTTTTCTAAAGCACCTCCCTTCTGGGTTCCTCTCTCTCCCTGACCTCTAGAACTTTCATCTCCTTCTCAGCAACAAAATCATCTTGATGATTGTTACCTGATCACTGTCTCTCTCTCCCCCCAGAGTGTCAGCCCCACGAGGGCAGGAAGGAAATGGAAACCTGTTTTGTTTACTGTTGGGTCTTCAGCTCCCAAAACTGTGCTAGGCACACAGTTGGTGCTCAATAGATACTAGATTGACACAGAGGGATATGAGGAATGTGGGAGGTGACAGCTGGGGGGGGCCCAGAAAGAAGACTGTCTGGAGACACCCAGAAGGAATTGGACACTCGGGGCTAGGTTAGGGACAGAGGAGCCCATGTCATCAGGGTTAAGACAAGACTTCAGCTGTGGTGGCCGATTTACTTGCTCAGGGAGAGGGCAAAAGAGAAATAGGCCAGGTACCGAAAGTTCGGGGGGTCATGGAACTCCCCTGAAAAGGGCACAAGCCGATCACATCTTGAGGTTTGTATCCTCTGAAGTAGGTGGGACAGAGGAGGCACTGCAAAGTTCCACCTGCCTCCTCCGTCCCTCCCACCCGATCCTCTCCAGGCAGCCAGAGGATCTTTGTCAAAAAAAAAATCCGGCAAGTCCCTTCCTGCTCCAGACCCTCCCAGGGCTCGCCACTGCCTCCAATGGAGACCAAGCGCTTCACCCCAGCCCACGGGCCCAGGGGTCTGGTCCCCGCCCACCTGTCCATCCTCATCTTCCCCCACTCTTGTCTATGAGCTCTCAGAAAAGTGAACTCCTCGCCCTTCCCCAGTCACGCCAGCCGTCCCTTCACCAGGGAACGAGCTCCCATCTCTCCCACTTCCAGGGGAAGTCCGTGAAGCCCCTCAGGTCAACCCTCCTCCCACCCCCGGCCCTGACACAGCAGCTCGCAGGGGTCGGATGGGTGGATGGGTGGATGGGTGGGTGGATGGATGGATGGGTGGGTGGGTGGACGGACAGACGGACGGACGGAGCAGCCAGGCTGCGATGGGGGAGGAATGGGGGGAAACAGATCCTCGCAGAACCCACCGGCTCCCTAACTTGGCCGGGCTTCAGTTTCCCCTCTGGACAAACGGGGTATGCAACCCCAACCGCGCACTCACCCACTCCAGCCTCAGTTTCTCCCGCGGTCCAGCGGGGGTGGGGTCCCGGCGCGGCAGCCAAGTGCGAGCCCCTCGGGCCTCCGCGGCGGCATCTGGCCTGGCCCCCGACCGCGCCCCCTCCCATAGAGCCGGAATCACGTGATTCCCAGCCCACCTCCGAGGGTGGGAGGGACCAGACAGCGGGGACTCAGTGCTCGGGCGTTGCCAGGCAACAGCCTCCCGCCGGGCTCTCCCCTACCAAGCAGCGGCTCTGGCCCCGCCCCCTGGAGGGAAGCCCCACCCACCGACCGCGATCATGTGACTTAGGCCTCGCCCCTCTCGCACAATTCCGCTCCCGCGTTGCCGTGACAACCGGCTTGGAGGCACACTTTTCCTGGGCCCGGGCTCTTCAGTCCCCCGCGCGGGCGCGGGTGGACCTCCCCGGCTCCGACATCTTCTTGGGTCACCCTCAGGCCCCACTCAGACATCCGACTCCTCTTTCCCCTCACACCCCCAGGGCAGCGCCGCGCCGGACTACCTTTCCCAGGAGCGTCGGCGGCTAGGCGAGACGTCGGGTGCCTCACGGGGCGGTGCGGACTACATTTCCCAGACAGCTTTGCGGCGGCCGGGCCCTGAACATTACGCTTCCCGGAGTCCTTTCGCGGTGGGGCCGCAACCCTCTCTGGCGTCTCGGAGCCGGGACGAGACTCCGACTCCCAGAGGGCTTTGCGGTTGACAAGGGCGACTACGCCTCCCAGAGGCCTCTGCGGCGCCGCGACCGGAAGTGGCGGGCGAGTCCGGTGTCCTTGCGCGCGGAGGGGAGCGAACATGGTGTCCCGAGCGTGGTCGCTGATGAGGTGCGTGGGGTCGCCGGGCGGTCTCCGAGCCCCCGAGAAAGTCCCCTCCCGCGGGCACCCCCCTCCAGTTTGCTCCCGACCTGCTCTTCGATTTCCGTAATGTCAGGTCTCCATGGCCCAGATGGGGAAACTGAGGTTCAGGCGGGGAGGGGTTTCCCGAGGTCGCTTCGCAGCGAGCCCTTGCCCCCCGACTCTCTGTATCCAGACCCGTCTGAGCCTCAGTTGCCTGCTCTGCAAAATGGGGGTGCGCACGCATTTATTGGGAGGTTCATGCGCGCCCAGAGCGCCTGTGACATATAGGAAGCGACCAGGGACGCTTAGAAACCACCCCCGCGGGTTGCTCGGGGGCCGTGCCTCCCGGGGCTGGAAGGCAGAAGGTCAGGGGTCTTAAGTCTTCACTGTCCTCTGCGGGATCATGAGTGACCCCCTGGCCCTCTCCGGGCCTCAGTTTACCCGTTAAATGGGGTGAGTAGCCCTGTTTTGCACACTGTAAGTTGAGTACTGTGCGTATCAGGCTCGCCTCTGGGCCCCGAGGGTGCCCTGTGCTTCCCCTCTTAGCTGCCTGGCTTCAGGTATGTCACTCTGGGCCCCCAGGGGCTCCGACTCCTCCCCCCGTGGCCCTAGACCCCCGACGGTGGCCAGCAGTGTCCCCTCCCTGCCCGCAGGTTCCTCATCAAGGGCAGCGTGGCCGGGGTTGCCGTCTACCTGGTGTACGACCAGGACCTGCTGGGGCCCAGCGACAAGACACAGGCGGCCCTGCACAAGGCGGAGGAGGTGGTCCCCCCGGCCATGTACCAGTTCAGCCAGTACGTGTGCGAGCAGACGGGCCTGAAGATGCCCCAGGTAGCCCGCGATCCGAGTGAGGCTAAGGCTTGGCGGGGGGGTGGTTGTCATCTCTGGGGTGGCCTTCGGTCCCTGGTCCCTCCAGCCCTGCTTGGCGTCTTCTGAATGGGGCCCTGTGCTGCTCTGCCTGCCTCTGCGGGGGGGCCGGGGTTTCCTGTTCTCTGTCACCAGCCCCTTCTCCCCTCTCTTCCCAGCTCCCAGCCCCCCCAAAGTTTAACTTTCACCTCCGCGAGTCCTGGAATTCAGGTAGGCCTGGGGAGCTTCTCTGCTTGGGGGGGTGGCCCCGGCTACCCCAGTCTAGCACCCCCACCCCGGCTTCCTGGCCGTGCCTCTCCATTCTCCCCTTCCTGTTTTGCGCGCATCTCCCACGGATCTGAAGGCGGGAAAGGGGTGGAGGTTTCAGGGCCGTGGGAGCAAGATGGAGCCACATGGGACTGGAGCTCGCAGCGTGACCTCAGACAAGGCGAGGCCCTGCCCCTCCTCTGCCTCAGTTTCCCCGTGTGGAATGGACGGAACTGCAGGGGGCGCCTCTAAGAGCCTCGCGGAGTGGACTGACCCCCCCTGACTGAAGGCGTGGGCTCCCTTCCCTCCCACAGGCATCATGACACTGATGTCGGCTCTGTCGGTGGCCCCCTCCAAGGCCTGCGAGTACTCCAAGGAGGGCTGGCAGTACCTGAAGGAGCGCGCCAAGTAGCCTGTCAGAGGGGGCCGCCCGCCCCTGTCAGGCACAGGGTCACGGGCGCCACCGACCTGGAGACTCCAGACTGGGACCTCACTCCGAGGGCAGCTCCCGGCCGTGCCGGCCCAATAAAGGACTTCGGAAGTGTTCCTCGACCTGTGTGCTCGCCCCCGGGGCGGGGGGTGGCCCGGCGGGCGCCCAGAGCACAGGGGCTGGGCTTCTGGCTCCTGGGGGCTCCTCAGGCCTGACATTGACCGCAGGCGTGGTTCACCCCTGATGTGGGGAGTGGGAGCAGACAGTTGGCCCCCGTGCTCCGTAGACAGTGCTCAGGACCCTGGGGAGGGGTGAGGAACCCAGCCTGGGTTGGGGGTCTCGGTTCGTGGAGGGCTGAGCCCAGAGTGGGGCAGTCTGGGAGCGGGGGATTCATGGTTCCTTCGCCGTCTACACGGCGAGGAGCCCCTGCGGGCAGTGATTCTCCATCCTGCTCAGCTCACTGATCTGCCCGTGTCTACTCTAGTCTCGCCCCCCCTCGCCTGGTCTCCACATTTGTTGCACCCTCTCCCCACCCCCTGGGGATTCCTGGGGAACACAGGCCGGTGGTCATGGCCGTGCAGGGGATCTCCCCAGCCCACGAGATGTCCCCTGCTCTCCTGGGAAGCCTTCCCTGCCCCCTGCCCCACACTGGGTCGCTGCCTGGGGACCTGAATGTGACTCCCCCACCGGGCTGGAGCTCCAGGAGGGCGGGCCCCCGAGATGCTCCCTGAGGCCCCGGGCACCCAGCCACAGGGCGTCCCCCGGTGGAACCTGTGCCCCAGACAGACGCGGTAGGAGGGGGACGCCAGAGGCTGGCCCGGGATGCTGCCCCCAGAGCAGGGAGCAGGCCCGGGTCACGGGGCCCTGAGCTGGCCCTCGATCCTCCGTTCCTAAGAGTTCTGAGGTTTATGTTGCTCTGCTTAGGGGACAGAGCTCACCCGGGCCTGTGAGCCAGGAGGGGACGGTGGGTGTTACACATGAGGGAAGCAGCGACCAGAGGCCGGGGCATTTCCCAGCTCTCCTGGGAGGAGAGGCTGGCGTGCGTCCGTCCGTCCATCCATCCCTCCGGTCTGAGGTTGGCGTGGGGAGGGGTGTAGCTGAGGCTGGGTGGGCTGGCCTGGGGTGCTCTGGGAGGGAGGGCCTGGTGACCTGTGCCACTCTGCTCTCCAGGAACGGTCTCTGGGCGGGTCTCTCGTGTCCACTGTGGCACCAGGAGGCCGCCGGGCTCCCTGTGGCCCCCTGTCCGGGCTGGGCCTCTGCTGTGGGGGGAGCAGGTCTAGGGTGAGGGCAGGATGGGCGGGGCCGGGGAGTGTCCCTGGTCCTCGGGGCTCCCGGGGGAAGCCGGCCCGGGTACGGGGGTGAGCCCCATGACCGTCCAGCCTGCCTCTCCATCCACCCAGCCCTTGCAGCAGCCCCGGGAGGGAGGCAGATCGGGGCCCGTTTTACAGATGGGGAGACTTGGAGGGCCAGGCTCACGGCTGCTCTGTGCGCCTGGAGTCCAGGAAGGTTAGCCTAAACCATCCCGGGCGCAGATTTCCCATTGCCTCACCTCACGGACCCAGTCTTCAAATACAGGAGGGGTTGGTACTTGGGGCACGTGAAGCTGGGGCTGCGCCAGGGCTCCCCGAGGCTCCGTGAGGCCTCACGACCTTCCTGTGTTATCATCACCGTCTTACAGAGGGGAGGCGTGCCGAGGCCACCCTGCGCGCCCTTGAACAACAGTTAAGGGCCCAGTACCCCGTGAGCTCCCGCAGAGCAAAGGAGGCCTGTGTAGGCGGGTGAGGGCCCCCTGGCGATGTGCTCAGCCCTCACCTCCATCCCGCCGGCCGTGGCCTGCGGCTCCGTGAACTTGGTGACGTCCCCGCCTTCGGGTCCATGCTTACCTGTCAGCCGGCTCTGACCTCAGGAGGACTGCAGGACGTGCCTGGGGGGGGGTGCAGGGGCCATGCAATGGGGGCTCCCGAAGGGCAGAGGTGGTGTGGGCGCGGGTCCAGGGGCAGCTGTGTGGGCGGGAAGGGCCTGGCCACACCCAGGGCCACGCACAGCGAGGACAGGGGGAACGGTGGACCGTCTTACAGATGAGGAAACAGCCCAGACTCCTGAGACGGGCCCTCCGGCCTCCTCCCCGCTCCGTCCCGCCCGGTCACGCCAGGTGGCCCTCAGTTCCCGGGACAGCTGCTTTCACCACCAGAGGCGCCTGCGACTCGTGTGCCCTCTCGCCAGGCCGTCGCTCCTCCTAGCTGATTCCTGCCTCCCTGTCCCCAGCTTAGACGCCCCCTCCTCTCTCACGGTTCTGGAGGTCAGAGGTGGGCTGATGTCAGGCGTGGGCAGGGCTGGTCCTCGAGGCTCTAGGGAGAATCGGTTTCCTGCCTTTTCCAGCTTCTTGAAGCTGCTGCCTTCCTGGGCCCGTGGCCCTTCCTCTTCCAAGCCAGCGGTGTGGTCGTCCTCTCTCCCGTCTCCTTTGACCCCCCTGCCTCTGTTTCCTTTATAAGGACCCTGTGATGACACTGGGCCCACTGGGTAACCCCACATAATCACCCATCTCGAGGGCCTTAACTTAATCCCACTGGCAGAGTCCCTTTTACCATGTGAGGTGCCCTATGTACAGGTACCAGGAACATCTCTGGCCCCCTCTGGAGCGGGTGTTTATTTGGCCGCCCAGAGTCTAAAGGGGTGGTCACGTTTCTGTTCCCAGAGCCGCGGGTCCTGGGGGGACAGGTCCCAGGCTGCCTCGGTTGTTGGTACAGCCCCAGCCCCCAGACAGGGCCGGGCCCCACTTCAGTGTGTAAGAGATGGAGCCCAGAGGGGGAGATGACCAGCTCCAGTGTCCACAGGCCCGAGGCTGGCCTCCCTCTGACCACTCTTCCGACCCCCGTCCACGTAGATCTGGGACCCCTGGGGCCAGAGCGCGGCTGACCTGGGGAGGCACCACTCGGCCCCACACTGCCGTCTGACCCACTGGGATGCAGCTCCACCTAGGAGGGCCCTGGACGAGGCACATCCACAGACAGGACGTAGACGGTGGGGCCAGGGGCTGGGGGGGCGGGGGGAGTCAGTGTTTCATGGGGACAGAGTCTCAGTTTGGGAAGATGAGAAGGTTCTGGAGACGGATGGTGGGGATGGTTGTATGACATTGTGAATGTACATAACCACTGAATTGTACACTTAAAAATGGTAAATCTCACGTTACGTAGATTTCACCACACACACACACACACACACACACACACACACGGCCCCTTCCGCAAGGGCTGCACGAGTGTGAGTCCCGGACACAGAGGCAGAGTGTGGGCAGCGGAAACATCTGAGGGACATCAGAGGGCCCCGGGGTGGGGGACGAGGAGGAGGGACGGGATGGCCGAGAGTCAGGACCCCAAGGATCCTAGGAACTCCGGGCCTGGCTCTTGCTGGCTGGGAGGTGCGCTGTCGGCAAAGGGCTTCGGGAACCCCGACTCCCTGACCGCTGCCCCTGTCTGTCCGTCCTCCCCCCTGGAGGAGAGCTGGGCTCAGCAAGGCCGAGTGTGACTTCATTGTAAAGAGGCGGAAATGAAGAGATGACGCTTTAAGTAAAGGGTATGTGAACAGAAACACGTTTATTACAAAAAACCAAAAAAAACAAAAACAAATTCACATTGTATTGAGCTACAATATGGCAGCAGATAAAAAAATGTATTGTACACAGCTCAGGGACTCCTAACAACATACTCCTGCAGCCACGGCGTCGCGCGGGCTCCGGGCGCTCAGTAGCGGCGGGTGAAACGGGCGTCGTTGGGCCGGCTGCCCCGGTTCTGTCCTCCGAAGCCGCCCTGCATCCCGCCGCGCGGGATCACGTGGCCCCGCGAGGCCCCGCCGGGGGCGAAGCTGCCGCGCCTGGAACAGAGGCAGGTCCTCGTGTCCCAGGAGCCCGTCCCCACCTCCACCGCCCCCCCCGGGCCCCTGCCCCGTGCAGGGGACCTGCTCCTTGGGGCAGCCACACCCGGAGAGGGGCCTGCGGTTTTCAGGGCGGGGCCCCGAGCCAGCCCACCGCACCCCAGGGCGGGGGCTGTGTCAGGTGGGCAGGCGGCCGTCTCTCCCCCTCCACGGTGAGCCCACACTCGAGGATGGACTGGGGGCACAGACGGGACAGCCTTACCCCGACATCCCGCCCCGGTTCATCATGTGGCCCGGCCCCGAGTGACCAGACATGCTTCTCTCGCCACCTGGAAAACAAGAGACCTTCTTTACAGCGCCTGGAGCTCAGGACGCCGAGTGGGGAGGACACCAACACAGGGTCAGGACCTCCAGTCCCCGGTGAGCCAGCCGGTCAGCCCAGCACTCGCAGGCCCCCGAGGGGGCAGCAGCGCAGCCCCGGCCCTCTGCCTGGCCAGACCTCGCGCACGCACTCGCCCTGCACCCGGGCAGCAAGGAGCCCCCTGCCAGGCCCCGGGGAGGGGAGCAGAGCCGCCCTGCCGCACGCAGCCGGGGACGCCTGTGGCAGGCCGAGAGCGGGGGCAGCGGGAGCCTCCGGACGCTGTTCCACCCACACAGACGCCCCGGCGACAGCCAGGCCTCACCTTGCCACCTCTTGTGCTCCCTGTCCATCACGCCTCCGTCGGCAGCGCCCTGCCACGCGCGGTCGTCCTCGATCCTCCGGCCGTGGTCCCCCCAGTCCCGTCTGCCCCTTGGAGAAAGGCATCTCTGATTTGGATTGCCCCGCCGCCGCCTTGCAGAACAGCAACAGCGCGGGGGCGGGGCGCACTCCTGTCCCCAGCCCCCACCCCTCTGGGCAGCGGGGGCGGTGGGGAGCGGGAACCAGCTCTCGGCCCGCTGCCGCTCAGACGGCTCCGAGGCGGCTGAGCTGTGGAGAGGGCACGGGGTCCTCAGCTCGACCCATCAATCCTGCCGTTTGGGCACGGGGGTGGGGGACACAAACCTGGGCGGCGGCGGCGGCAGCCCCCGGCCCTCGCTCATCCTCTTGTCCGAGCCGTATCCGCCCCAGCCGTCGCGCGAGTCCCGGCCGTGGCGCTCGGGTCCGCCGTGGCGCTCGGGGTAATGCTGGAGGATAAAGAGCCAGAAGGAAAGGCGGGGTCGATACTGAACTCCCCAGGCTCTGGGGCAACGAGCTAATGACGACAAT